CCCCCTGTGTGTCCTTGCCTCCCACGACTGATACAGAGAGGTATCTATCTATCTAAAATACATTTTCCGTTAAGAAAAATGTTAACTTTATACTGTGGTCTTTATTCTGACCTGTTTATTTTTAATTGTAGTTAAATCATGAGGAGTAAAGTGTAAGACATAAATAGATTTATGTTGCTGATGTGATTATATTAATCATCAAGAGAAATTTTTGATGCATAAATCATACACATATCACGTAAATGTCTGATTATTAGTGAAGCAGAATAACTGAGCTAATCTTTGAAATAGAGCTTATGTGATGTCCAACCTGAACATATTCTAGATTGAATTGGAAATTTGTTTTTGGTATCTAAATTTTGTTCAGCTGTAAAAATGTTTTACATAATGTTTGAATGAAAAATATCAGTACCTGAATAATCAAGTTGTTTGTATTTGAAAATTAAAAATTAAACATTCTAGGAAATATGGACAAGTATCTTAAAACTGTTAAACATTTGTAATTTTTAATAATCTTCATCTGTTCTAAATTTCTTGACAGAATGCCTTTTGAAGAAAGTAGGCCTATTAATTCTATGAGCTCTAGTTCAGAAAATGACAAATGGAGCAGTGATGGAAAACATCCACATCTCATTTCTTCTGAAGACTATACTGAAGAGCTGAAGAGAAATAAAACTCAGAATTATTTGCTGCTTTCAGGGTAGGTAAACTATTGGTTTCTTATTTCCTATATTTTACAGTCAGTAACAATCATGTTATTTAACCTATAATACACACGTAGAATATTGTCCCATATGTACACTGCTGTGCATTTATTTTGGCCATGTCCACAAGTCCTGACCACAGGCACATCCAAACAACTTTCTGTCTGGAAAAACATAAAGCCATGTGGCTGTGGCACACGTTTTTCATCCTGAGATCCAGGCTATGTCGTTCCAGGTGCTGGTCAAAGCAGCTGCTGATGTGGGCTTCCCATGGATATCCCATTGAGTATGGCACAGCATAGGAGTTTAAAGGTTAGGAAAGTTATTACTAAAGTCATAAATACCATCTCCAGTAGGGATTGGTTGTGTTTTAATATACCTAACTTTTTAGGGAGCAATGTTAAAGTAATAATTAGAAAGTTACCAGAAACTTCAAAAGTCGCAGTGATCTCTTTCAGTATCTTTTTAGATATATTTTTGAAACAACATCAAAGACCATTAGCATAACATGAGAAATTGCATAATATAAAAATAATTATGCCTATTGATTTAAAGTATTTTCTCTTATTCAAATAGTATCACTGAATAGTAGTGATTTACTCATTATGATTGATAGTTATCACCTTAACATAAAGAAGCTACTAACTAGGATAAAAATTTTCTGTGACTGGATCTACAAATAATATGTAGCTTATAATGTAACTAATAAAAATATCAATGTGTTCTCATCCTGCTTGTGAGTGATATCACAGGTTGTTTGCATTTTCTATCTCACATCCAGAAAGTCGGTGCTTTTACCATGTATCATGAAGCACAACTGTAATGCACAATTATTGTGAAAATTTGAAGATATGATTTCATATTTATAGTCATTACATAAAGGCTGTGACATTTTATTTATCTGTGATCAACAAAATGTTTTATACTTAATTATATCTTAATGTTATATTCTGATTCACAAACTTAAATACAACTCTGTAATTTATCTTACTTGCAAATGTAATAATCTTGTATGTTTTAAATTGCTAATAAACATGAGTGTTATCAGGAGGTAAATAACACTTATTTTTATCTTTCAGACCTCAGGATAAGCTTTATGGCAGGATACATTCACAATTGACATATAAGGAGCAGGAGAGAATACGACAAAGAAGCATGATGCAACTTAAACGTCAAGATCCATTTTTCCGAGCAGTGGAAAGAGAAAAGCAACGAACCAGGATGAAAACTCGGCGACAAGACCCCTTGTTTCGAAACATAGAGAGAGAGCGTCAGCGCATACGTATGAAAATGAAAAGACAAGATCCCATATTTAGACAGAAAGAAAGAGAGCGACAGAAGTATCGTATGCAGTTGAAACGACAGGATCCAGTTTTTAAGGAACAAGAAAAAGCACGGGGTCGCTCTAGATCACAAATGAAAAGAAAATGTTCCCAGATTATGACTGAATACCAGAATAAACATAGGAAAGTGTTTGAACCTTATATTCAGTTCTGTGAGCCTGTCACACGTGAAGAGAGTGTAAAACATTTACAGCAACAAGCATTAAAAGAAAAATCTAATTATACAGTCTCCTCAAAAGAAAAAACACAACCAACTTGTGGTAATGAGTCTCTCATGAGCACAAGTAATGGGAGCTGTGATATGCAGCCTACTTCACAACCTCAGAACAAAAATGACACTTCTGATATAATGGCCTTTGGCTATTACAGACCTAATGTATCGCATTGTACTTCTGCTTCATCTCTTTCTTGTTTGTTAAGAACAACAGGAGATGTAAAGACACTATCAGACATATCAACCATTGCTCTACATTCCTCTGTAGCTATTAATTCAGAAGCTCTACGAGGGGATCACCATAGCCATCAAGGTGCTATACCAAATGTAGTTTCTGTAATGAACCCTCTTTTGCAGTCTTACATGTCTGCAGCTAGTGGTTTTGTGAAAGGTAACCAGCTACCCCAACAGAAAACTTCACCAGCAAGTAAGTCTCCACTCTTGCTACATTCTTAATGTTTGTTTGTATGTTTTCACTCTTAGTACCCTGACTAGTTTTATTGGTTGGAGCTTTGACTTTGAACTGCTTGGTGAACACTTTACATTTGTTATTAAATATGCTTGTCTGATCATGTTTGGTGCAGATGACATATGTTTCCTTGCAGACTAAATCTTTAAATAACCCCTTGTTGATTGATTTTAGCTCCTGTTACCCTTAATAGTTTTATTAGTAGGTCTCTACCTTTATTATCCTTATCAGTTTTATTTGTAGGTCTCCAGTCTTTGAAGTGGGTACACAAACATTTTATATACACATATATATATATATATATATGTATATATATAAAAGAAGCATAATTTTATACTGCATGATAAGGTAATTTATTTCTTTATGTTTTTAGTAAATTACACCAGAAATTTCATTGTGCAGCAGATCTTTTTTTGTTTATGTTATGGCAAATAAAATTAATTCAAGTTACAATGTAGATCATCATACTCGGTGATAATATTTATGAAGAATAACTTTTCTGTGAATGAAAATTATGTATTAATAGTTGTTTATGATAGGTGAAGATTCCTTGTTACTTTTATTTTAAGAATAAGTAGTTTTTTACTACATTCAGTTTTTTTTTATATACGATACAAATTTAAAGTATGATGTAACTCCGAAGATACTTTAAATTTTCTACTTATTTCAAACAATACTCTTTTTCCAAGTAGTATAGTATTTCAAATTAACTTTTAAAGGTGGAATAGTGATCAAACTATTATGTTAGACTAAAAGATGTATGAAAGGGTCTTCTTTTGAATTATATGCCAAATATATTTAGTATTACATACATTCACAGAAAAAATATTGAAAACCATGAAAACGATATAAAGGTGTCTTGACTTCACAGCTGGGCCTAACATCTATCATCTGTCTTCACTTTGTATACATCTACTTTGTTTAAGGTGTAAAGGATAAGCCAGTAAGTAAACAAAAAAATGGAAAAACATCTTGCAAGATCGTACTATCATTGGAAATATTCATTACCAATGGCCAAATGAACAATATCAAGAATTTGTTATTATACATGTATTTAAATGAAAAACATGTTTGTTATTAGGTACTAACGTAGTTGACTGCCCTATTTTAAAACATCAAAGGTGTTTTAACCTCATTAATCAGGTACTTTGAAAGTTAATTGAAAACAGGCAGACTTATTTATGAAATACAAAAAGCTTTTCCTTGCTGAGTTGCTTTCATGCTGTCAATAAGCATGTAACTAAAATTCTAAATGTTCTTGACACAATGAAAGGTATACATCAACTTATCTATGTGACTTACTATGCTTGTGTCAGGAGGACTTGTATAAGCTCTACTTATCTCCCACCCCCCCTCTAATTCAGTTTTTTTGTGTTGATGGTAATGCTATTAATTTTGCTCACTGTGAAAATCAAAAAGTGAATGTTTACTACTGTTACAAATGTTTCTACCAATGCCAGGATTTTTACAACTAGTGTGAATTCCTGTGGCTTTATTGTTGGACCTAATGATCTGCATGTTCAATAGTAATTTTGGGTTGTCTGCTGGTGTCCCTAATGGTTTTCATGTTCATTTGGATGCTCAGTTCTGTAATATCTACCTTTTCTCATGCCTATTCACCTTTAGGTTTCAAAAGCAAGTTTTGTCAAGTAGCTCTAATTTTAAAGAAACTTCTTCTGGGCTGATTTTCTTCTTTTTTTCTATATATATATATTTTATTTTAAATCTTGAACCAGTTTCTGTTATGCCTGTGATGTTTGATGATTCAGTTCATGAATCTTTATATTTTCCACCTTCTAATTTTTGGGTTATTTCTAATTCTTCCAGTTTCTCAAGTTCTCGACTCTCAGGTTTTAGTTTTGGGGGTTGGGAGGGGGATGGTTTCCACATGGTCTTCTATTTTGAGCCATTGTCATTTTTTTGTTCTATGCATTATGCTTTGCCTCCTTTTGAGACTTTCTTCTTCCCAGTAATTATTTCATCAGGATCAAAATTTTACCTTGCAATTTTCCTTATTTGTGACATGTCAGTTACTTCAACTTGTTCCTTTTAACTCTGTAGATTGGCCAAAATTAATAATAAGCAATTTGAGTCATCTTGATCCTCTCAATGACTTTTGTTCCAGATGGATCTCCAATTTCTGCTATTGGGGGTTCTATTGGATCATTGGTTCATCTGTGGGATCCTTAGGTTTTCTTTTCCTGGAGACAACTCATTTAATGGAAAATGTGTAGTTATTATGAAAGTTTATTCACCATAGCCATTGAATGATGACAGTAGATATGCAAGATGTCTTAACTTCATATCCCTATTCCTCTGTAATTTGCCATCAGGGGCAGTTATCAGTTCATTGTTCGTCCCATTGGCACCATATGTTTTTGTTGAGGAGTTTAGTTTTTTCTTCTGCTACTCTATCCACTCAACACAAATTTTTACTTTTACATGGACAATTGGCTTATTCTGACCCTTTCAGCTATTCAGCCTCTTTATATATATATTCTGTTGATCACCCAGCTGACTACATCTCTTGGGCAGATCATCTAAACTTTAATTCCAATATTAGTACCAATACATTATTTGAAGTGTGTAGATTTGAATAAACAAGTCTACTTTTTTGTCCTCATTCTAAAGACCTTCGTCTTTTCATAATTATCTTCCTCTTGGTTGGGGCACTATGTTGGGGAATCAGCATCTTTCTGGTTTTTGGACTCCCTGGGAAGCAACAGCTTACTTCAAAATGTTAGAATGTTGGGTGATTTAGCACGCTTATCTTGAGTTTTTGTCTCCTTCTACACAATCATATAGTGTTAGTTCACACAGACAATTCTTCAGTGGTAGCTTCAATCTATAATTTGAGTGGTATTTGTTTTTACAGTCTTTGCTTTTCTGCAGTTTCACTACTTCTTTAACTTCATTTTCATCATGTTCGCTATTGAACTTTTCACTTTCTCTGTGGAATAACAATTTTGGCATACTCCCTTTCTCTAGTTTATCAGCTTTTTTTCCACAATGTAGACATTCACCCTTTGGCTTTTTCAATGACTTCCAAAATGATGGTAATCTGACGATTGATGCCTTTATTACATTGATCAAACATTTTCTTCCACTATACTAATCACCAGTTCCAGATTAAAATTCTTTAGCAGTGGATACCTTGAACCAATCTTGAGAGGTTCTCTTCCTTTAGGCCTACCCAATTCTCCACCTTTTTTTTTTTCAAGAACTTATCAAGATCAATTATTTAAAGTTCAGGGTTCTCCTTATCACTCCATTTTTGCCAGCTCTACCATAGTTTCTCATATTTTGTTTGTTTTTTTTTCACAGGGAAGCCACCCTATTACCACCATGAGAATATATCTTCTTTTCTCTATTTCAACGTCCTTTTTTATTTTCTTCACAGTAATGTCCAACATCTGTGGCTTCACTGTTGTCTGTTGTTCAATTCTGTATCTGAGAATTCAGATTCTCTTCCTGGATGGCTTAGATTGTTAGCACAATCTTGCTTAACATTTTTCCTGAGCTTTTTATCAATGTTTTTGGGCTATTTCTTGGAGTTGTTACTTTAAAAAACATAACATTTTTATCTCCAACTCCTCAACAAATTACTTTTTTTCTTTGTCATTTTGGCTTATCTGCTTCTTTCATAGCTGGTTACAGAGCTGTCTTGTCTGCCATTTTCCATTTCCATGGAAGTCAGTTTTCTCTTTTGTCTCCAGAGTTCCATGATCTTTTTGAAGCCCTTCATGTTAATGATCCAAGTTCCTATACATTGTTCTAAATATATCTTGAATTTAGTCTTATGTTACTTTGCTCCCATTTTTGAATCTTTACCAATTTGTTTGGCTTTATAATCTTTCCCTCAAATAATTTTTTCTTTTCTTGCTTGCATTTAGGAAAAGAAATTTTGATATCTATGCCATTGATGCATTATGTATTTAATTTTCTCAGAAGACCTTACACTTATACCCAGATTGAGCCTTCCCACCTACCAGTAAGGCTACAAGAGAAGGAAATCCTCTGTTTCTCACCTGTTGTATTACCTCCTTGTCAGGGTTATTTAATGTTATCTCCCATGTACTAAACCTATTAGAAGTCTTGGAAAAGGTTTATACTTTACAACCAACCATGCAACTTGGATGTTGTTCCAGCAACATAAAAAAATTGACTTGTATTATACAAGTGATCTATGTCATTTATTGTGATGATGTCTGACACTATACAAGTGAATATCGGGTTCAATCTCTCAAATTCACCATTTGGCGATGCCTTTTTCATCCTGCATGCAGTACCCTTTAGAGTATATTCTACAAGCCAGCTTATGGTAAAATTAACACTTTCATTACGGGCAGGTCAAAGCGAACATGTCACGACTTCTTTAGAGAGTTACATCCAAAATTTAATTAAACTACTTTGTTATCATTCTATACAAATGAACTTGCATCAAAATGTAGTTGATAAGTCAAATTCCAGAACATATCTCCTTTCACACTACATTTATTACTCAACTGCTAGGGTTTCTTTTCTTTGCCCATCTAAGCACTGATCTGAATTTTTCTCACTCCAGTCTTTTATTCCCCCACTTAATTGCCCTTGGCAATCAATATCTGTCACGTGACACTCTCCACCTATGTCAATGCACCCTCTAACCTGGTACTGTATATAAGCACCTCATTCAAATGATATTATCACTTTTCTCAACAAAGCATTCACGACAGGTTTCTCTGTACTACAACCAATGGAGATACTTTGAGCATTCTTTGTGCTACCTATTTGATTTTCATAAAGAAAAACTTTTTTGTTTGGCAAACCGATATGCTGCATAAATTCCTGGATTAATATATCTGGCATGAAGGCAAATCAAGTCTCTCCTATCCCAACTCTGATGTCTAGCATTTCCAAAGAAACAGGGGGTTCATTCTTGGTTGAGGCTGTCTGTGACCTTATCCATAGTGAGATGG